CCCTTAACCTAACCCTAACCCTAACCCTAACCCTAAACCTAACCCTTAACCTAACCCTAAATCTAACCCTTAACCTAACGCTAACGCTAACCCTTAACCTAACGCTAAACGTAACCCTAACGCTCTAAACCTAACCCTAACCCTAACCCTTAACCTAACCCTAACCCTAACCCTAACCCTAACCCTAACCCTAACCCTTACCTTTATGTGAATCGGCTTGCTTTAATTTTAATTTTATTTCAATTTTTAATTTTTTTCATCGTGCTGTGATGACGGCAAACACGTGCTTTCGTCGAGCGCGATTTTGTCCTCCACAGTTTTGACGGGTCACGCTAATTCCAGCACTTGAAAGCAATCAATCTTTTCCAGTTGTGTTCTCCTTATCAAGCCACAAAGATGTTAAAATTGCTGCTCCCCCAGTGATTAATCCACTGAGTGCAATAATCAATTAATCTATTTATGGAAACAGTTGAGATGTGCACCTCACTTTTGACGCTGTCAAACTATCTATCAACATGCCATAATTATTGCTTAGCATCTATCTGGATAAAGCAGTGTTTCTCAGCCTTGACAACTTGAGGAAGTGTGGACTTCAATTCCAAGAATTCCCCAGTCAGCATGAATTCTGGGAATTGAAGTCCACACTTCTTCAAGTTGACATAGTTGAGAAACACTGGAATAAAATAAGGCAGCATCCACATCTGGGAAATATGTCAACAACTAACATTCAGAAACAAGGTTTTTAATTGCAAGTAAGGAGTCATGGTGGCGCAGTGGTTAGATGCAGTATTGCAGGCTAATTCTGCCGATGGCCAGCAGTTTGATTCTCACCAGCTCAAGGTTAACTCAGCCTTCCATCCTTCCAAGGTCAGTAAAATGAGGATCTAGATTGCTGGGGGCAATATGCTGACATTGTAAACTACGTAGAGAAGGCTGTAAAGAACTGTGAAGTGGTATATAAGTCTAAGTGCTAGTGCTATTACTAAAATTTGAATGAATTAAAATCTCTCATACACTCTGCCAGCTTTGCCAAATTTCCTTTCAATCTTTAATTGGGTGGGAAAAGCCATTTAATGCAGTGGTTAAAGTGTTGGACTAAGTTTGGGAAGACTCAGGTTCTGTGTGCCATCAGCCACGGAATCGCAACGGGCAGCTTTGAGCTATTCCCTCTTTCTGAGTTCAACCTATCTCATAGGCGGCAGCAACTGAAGGTGAGGCTGAATGACAAACGCAGCATTGCATCATAAACCCCACCCGTCTTCTGCACACATTGGGACATTGTGGGCCGACCCAAAGGGGCAGGGCTTGTGGAACAATGCTGCTTTCATAGTTTTACTCAAAGCAGGAAGCTTCAGTAGATGTTCACCTTCCAGGTGTGGCGTTCTAGGGATAAAATCGAGGGAACCTCCTCCCTATGCCTTGAGTTCCCGATCAAAACGTGAAAATAAAGGAAAATACTTGTAGCTTGGCATTGAAATGAGAGGTCCTTGATGCTCTCTGAGCTTGGTGGTTTTCTTGCAGATGTTTCATTATCCAAACTGTTTCCTAATGAAATATCTTTAAGAAAACCACCAAGGTCAACGAGCACCAAAGACCCCTCAGAGGCGATAATGAAAAAAGGACAGAAATGGCCTGGAAGGGAATATTCAGAAGCTGTAACAGAAACAATGAAGGCAAAAGTATGCGTTAAGGCTGTGGCATGCGTGCCTCAGGTGGCAACCTATCTCATAGGCGGCAGCAACTGAAGGTGAGGCTGAATGACAAACACAGCATTGCACCATAAACCCCACCCGTCTTCTGCACACATTGGGACATTGTGGGCTGACCCAAAGGGGCAGGGCTTGTGGAACAATGCTGCTTTCATAGTTTTACTCAAAGTTTTACTGTGGGCACGTCAGCAGTCACCCCATTCTAGCTCCACTGTGCATGTGCGTGTACCCCCCGCCGGCCAGCTGGTCTTCGGGTCTCTGTCACGCATGCGTGGTGGCGGAGCACATGCAGGGGACATGCACATGAATGCACAAGGATGCAGGTGTGTGTGGGCGCTCGCATTGCATTTTGGGGGTTCGCACATGTGTGCCCCCACCACCCCATTTTCGGCCTGGAAGCCCTCCTGCACCAATCTGGAAGCCAAAAATAGGTGAGGGGAGATGGGGTGCATGCGTGGGGGGACGCTCACATTGCATTTGGGGTGTGTGTGTGCACACTTTGGGCACTTGTCACCAAAAAGATTAGCCATCATTGCTTTCAGGCCTAGGAAACGAGGTAGCATTAGGAAGAAACAGGCTTTGTTCCTCTTGATTCAGTGGAATATATGACAAAGAGAGAAGAAGCTTACTAAGACTTGCAAGATTCAACTACTATCTCAATAAAGTTTAGTTATAGTTTTCCTCGGGTGTTGGGTTTTTTGCTTGGGTCTATCTTCTAGAGCTAACAGATAGAAATCCAATGAATAAAATAACATGATTTTCTTCATAAAATGTCTTGGGATTTTGGCTATTCACTCACCATTAGCGAAGGTGATTACCAACCAGATGGTGTCCGAGGCATTGATGAATGAGTCAAAGACACACTTGGGTGACTCTAAAGCAAAAGTAGTAACGGTGACTTTTCCTGCCATGTTCATGTCCGAGACTCGAGGAGTGTAGGGGACCACCTCTGAAAATACATCAAGAAGTCATCCACATTAGTTGGTGATGCAGAAATGCAAGAACGGATGATGCATCTAATCAAATGCAAGCACGGAACAGAACATTTCTCACAAATAAAAACAACATTCTTATTTTTTTTCTGCTTCCTGGACCAAGAATGGACACTATAGCCCAGGGGTCTCCAACCTTGGCAACTTTAAGCCTGGAGGATTTCAACTCCCAGAATTCCCCAGCCAATTGGCTGGGGAATTCTGACAGTTGAAGTCCTCCAGACTTAAAGTTGAAAAGCTTGGATATCCCTGCTATATAGCCTGCACCCCTTGAGTTGAAGGACTCTGGGATGGGAAGGAAAGGACACTGTATCCCCTTTCTTACAGTGGTAAGGTAAAAGTTCCCCTCGCACATATGTGCTAGTCGTTCCCGACTCTAGGGGGCGGTGCTCATCTCCGTTTCCAAGCGGAAGAGCCAGCGCCGTCCGAAGACGTCTCTGTGCTCATGTGGCCGGCACGACTAAATGCCTAAGGTGCATGAAATGCTGTTACCTTCCCACCAAAGGTGGTCCCTATTTTTCTACTTGCATTTTTACATGCTTTTGAACTGCTAGCTTAGCAGAAGCTGGGACAAGAAACGGGAGCTCACTCTGTTACGTGGTACTAGAGTTTCAAACCGCCGAACTGCCGACCTTTCTGGGTGACAAGCTGAGCGTCTTAGCCACTGAGCCACCACGTCCCTTCTTTCAGTGGTAGTGCTCCCCATAGCCTGTCAATCAGAAAGGCTGTCCAGGAGCTCCCTATTAGAGAAAAAAAATTGTCTATTACGTATGTATCGTAAATATGGGTTGTTATTGTTTTTTTGGCTTTAAGGAAGGTGTGCTTCCCTCTTTAATTCCCTCCCTCTACTGCCCCAAAGTCCTATTTCCTTGGGAGCAAAAGTTTAGAAACAAAAACAAAGCTGCACCACCAAATTAAAAATTAAAGCATTTTTTCCCCCTCCTAAAAGCTAAAAATCTAACTTGGATAAAACGTCTTCCATTTCTGGAATCACATTCAGTCCACCTTACCATTATCCATCTACTATAACACAATAACAGAACAGAATAACGGAGTTGGAAGGGACCTTGGAGATCTTCTAGTCCAACCTCCTGCTCAAGCAGGAAACCCTACACCTCTTCAGACAAATGATGGTCTGATGTCTTCTTTAAAACCTCCAGTGTGTAGTAACAGACAGAACTTTCAAGGGAAGCTAAGATATTTAAAGATAAATCAGATAAATGTTGGAAATGTCATCACACCTGGCTCATATTATCATGTGTGGTGGACATCTGTAGAAGCTAAAAAATATTGGATAAAAATATGCAAGTGGTTGGAAAATATGATACAACAACATATTGACTTAAACCTGAAATATTCCTGTTGGGGATCTTACCAGAAACTATATATTTGATTATTCATATAATAACCACAGCTAGAATTGTATTTGCACAAAACTGGAAAAGTGAAGAGATTCCCACAGAAGAAAATATGATAACGAAAATATTAAAATGTACAGAAATGAACACATTAACACTGGCAATTAAAGAGAAAGAACAAACTGGTTATTA